TTGCATTGATGACAGAACTGCGACTAAAGAAGTTACCTAGAGAATCCAGCAGAGGGCGTTACGTCCATGCTTATCCGGGGAAACCTGACAGCTGCAGTAAAGGACCAGGCTGCCGCATTGCTGCGGTTAAGGCTAGAAACTCCTGCCCTGACCCTGGAGTCCTCCGACCCTTTTGAGTATGATTGAGTTTTATGAGTATGTGATTCTGGGACTCCTAGAAAGTTACTTTGCTGAATGACTGAGAGGCAAGTCGAGACCTCTCTAGTCCTTGATTTCTGTGTTTTTAAGATGGGAAGGGATTTGGCCTCCCTTCTTTCATTGTATATTGAATACCTTGAAATGGACAAGATGCTGATTTAAGGAAGGGAAGCATCAACACTGAAATGGATAAAACTCCTACATGAGAAGGGAGACTAGTAGTGAGATGGTAGTTTCCATCTGTTCCTATTTCAGGAAAGGAGACCTGTGGTGCCCAAGGATGATAAAGAAGACAACCAGGAACAATATAAAAAAGGAGGCTGAAGAGACCGAAATATGGAGACCTTGTATACCTTGATATATTATGACACCTCATTTGCCTAATTGTCATAATGCCTAGCAAGGTGATTTAGTTCATTTTACAGTTGAAGAATTCAAGGCTCAGGGATGTTAAGTGACTGGCTTAAAATCACACAGCTGTTAAGCAGTAGAGTCAAAATTGAAACTGGGGTATGTTTGACTTAACAGGGACTGTCTTATCCATCTCTCAAATTAGGAGTGTACTCCACTTCCCTCCCCAGATGTGTTAGCAGAGAAGGATTTCTTCCCCTTCCTTTCCACACCAGCCCTAGATACCGAGGGTTGCCTGGAAGAGATTCCACTCTGTTCCCTAGCTCTGCCCATCTTGTCCATCAGACCCCTTTCCCCCTGTGAAGGACAGACACCTGCTGAGTGACACCAATTTGCAGACTTCTCAAGTGTGAATGAAATTTCTAATAGGACTGGCTGCCCACAGATTTCAGGCAGTTAGAAATAAAGAGAAATGCAAGAGGCAGGAAATGGGACAGAAGACAGCTTGTTTGGAGAAACAGCGGAGGCAACAACAGCAGGAGCCTCTGGGTGGAAGTGAAGGTTCAGAGAAGTTAAGTACCTTTCCAAAGGTCATACAGCTAGCAAGCAGAGACGCTGTGTGAGCTCAGTTAATGGTTTCATTTTTAGCCTTCCCTAAAAGTGCACAATTCCCAGCCCAATTTAAGTCTCTGCTGCATGGGTAGAAGAGGAGGGTAGAAATAGACTGGAAAGGAAGAGGGAGGGCCTTTGAGTTTATTACTTGAGAAATGTATCTCCACCTAGCGTCTCAGTATAGGGTTTGGTGCCCGCAGAGGGGCAAGGTGGTTTCCAAGCATAGACATCAATAAAGGTTCCCAGTGGCTCAAGAGGCTAAGACAGGAGGATCACAAGTTCAAAGCCAGCCTCAGCAACCAAAAAATAAATAAGTAAAAAGGGCTGGGATGTGGCTCAGTGGTTAAGCACCCCTGGGTTCAATCCCTAATAGCAATTTTTAAAAAAGAAGAAGAGGAGGGGGAGGAGGAAAAGAAAATGAGAAAAGAAAAGGCTGGGAAATGGTTACTCTGATCGCTTTTGCCACAGTCAAGGCACTGGGTTTCCCCACCCTAGTTTTTCGTCTTCTTGACACCTCTGAGTGTCAGGACAGAAGCAGATTCTGGGGCAAAGAAATTCCTTGCACACAAGTCCGTGGCCCTCTGGCTTCACAAGAGGACCGGGCAGGTCTGACCAGCTCCATGCGGGCCAGAACCAAGTGTGTTGTCCACCTTGCCTGGGCACTCACCATCTGGACACCTCCGCATCATGAGCATGTGCCCCTTTGTGCCAGCACTCGCTGTGGCTCTCAGGCCAGAATCCACCTGGCCTGTGAGTCCCACGTGGGGACTCTTACAGGTTTGTTGTGTTAATGGGTGAATAATTAAGGGGGATTCTTTCTCCTTGCCCTGTAGTTGGGATGCAGAAGCAGCCAGGGCACTGTGAGGACAGACTTCGTCCCCTCCCCTCACACACTATAGACCATCCTTGTTTCCCGAGGAGTCTGCCTGGGCACAGGGGCATGCCGAGTGGTTTCCTGTGGTGGTTTCTAGGAGATACAGAAGGCACAGGAAGGAACCTGTGGAAGGACAGTCAGAAAGGGGGCCCCGCCCATGCCCTGCACCCTGATGCTGGGGCCAGCACCATGCGGCAGACTGGGACTTGTTGTTGAGAGGTGAAACAACAACAAAATCACTAGTCTTCCAGATGGGGCTAGCCGAGATGCTTAGCCTTGGCAGCCACCCCCCTCCCAGCCTTGGACCCACCACGGGTGGAGGTGGGCTAGCCCAATGGACACTCCTGCAAGGACGGCCAGCATTTGCCCCTTCTCCCATTACCAAGTTCATCTCTTCTCATTGCTCCTCCCTTGTTTCTGCACAAGACAGGGAGATATTTTCTTACTATTTTTTTTCTTTTTGGAGTATTCTATTTTCTATAATAAGCATATTTCCTGTAATAATGGGGAAATCTTATCTTTAGAGGGAAGCAGACAGGTATCTCATTTTCTCTACCTTCATGAATCATAAGGCACTTTACTGTTTCAGAAAAGGGAGGAAAAAGAAAACTCCAGATAATGGTGGCCCCCACACCAGGTCCCACCTTCCACTCCTACAGGTTTACTTAATTCAAGGTGAAAATCCTCCCGGGGGTTAAGAAGTTGCACTTGTGGTGCCCAGGGAATGCATGGCAGAAATAGGAGGAAGAGGGAAATGGTAGCGGGAGGCTGGAACTCCAGCCCAGGCATCCCCTCCTTGCAGGCATAGGCTGAGTCCCCTGGTTCATTTCTCTCGCAGTGTGGCACTGATGGAGGAGTGGCGAGGCCCTCCCTGCCTGGGCCAGCCTCTAATTGCACTGGCAGGACACATCCGCTCCTTAATTAGCAAAAGCCACAATATCCTGGCAGCCCAGAGAGCATGGCCCTAATTGCATTTCTGAAGCAGCTGAGGGATAATTACCCTTCCCTATTGGTGCTTTTAATTCTTTAGCTTCTTAATTGCGAGCTCTTCCTTTTGAGTCCACCCCTCCACCCTTTGGTTGATTTTCCCCATCCAGAGTGGGGAAGGGCTTTCCTGGAGATGGAGAAAGTGAGGGTCTGGGGAGGGATGATGTGGAGAAAGTTGGCAGCACCAGCTCCTAGGCCAGCCCCTTCCAGCCATCAGCCAGAAACTGGGCACAGTCCTGTGTGGGTCTGAGAAAACACCAGGAAGTTCTTTCGCACCTGGCACGCTGGCGGGTCCTGTGATCCAGGTGACTTGGGAAGCTAGGGCAGGAGTATTGGAAATTCCAGGCCAGCCTGGGCAATTTAGTGAGACCCTATCTTAAAAATAAAAAGGGCTAGGGGTGTAGCTCAGTGTTAAAGTGCCCATAGTTCAATACATAGTATAACCCCCCCCCTCAAAAAAAAAAGTTTTGTATATGGGAAAAGTATCCCTCCCTAGAAGGATAAGACTCTTTAAGCTTCAGGGAGCCAAGTCTCACCCCCTCCCCATTTAATCCATCATGGGATAGCAAGGAATATATTGTCAAATTTCTCTTAAAATAAAAAATAATAAGCTGTGTTTCCTCAACACTGTTGAGAGAGCTAGTACATCAACCTTGCTGTATTATTTCACCAACAGACTCAAGCCTAGGACTAGAGGGCAAGTCTAACTAGGGTGTAAGGTACTATTAGGAGAGGTTAGTACCCTAGTTCTTTAGGAAGCTTGCAGATGAACTTCAGGTGGTAATAAGCTAAACAGTCTCACAAAGGGGATTTGGAGAGAGTCTCTAAAGCTCCCTGGACCACCTTACAGGCCTGTCCACAAGAACAACCCTGGCTTGAAAGTCATCCGCAGGTGACTTCCCTGTTCTAAGCTCACCCTGCTTAGCACACAGCCTGGCCCTTGATGTATGAAATAGTTGGCAAAGAGGCAAAGTTCAGACAGTAGGATTCTGTGATGTGAAAAGAATAAATCCATTTTCCTTGGCTTTTTCTATACAAAACCATTGAAGATGGACTTGAGTTGATAGCACTGGTTTTCTAAAATTTCTAAAAGTCTTTAACCTGGGTTGAGAAAAATCTAAATAGTGGAAAGAAAAGATAATACTGCTATCATCTCAGAGAAATGTACCTTGAAAAAGTGACCTGCCCTTGAGCCCACCAAGTCCCACTACCCACTTCTAGTTTCCTTCCTCTGAATTTAGAGCTGTCCCCTTAGCAACACTTGTTTCCATGGTTTCCTCCATGACAAAGATTCCCCAACCCCTCCTGTCTTTTGCTTCATGACAGTAATGGGTGATAGGGATCCTCAGTGTGGCCACTCCACGTAACCATGGTAACAATTAACTGAGCCTTCATTTATCTTTTGTGAAGAGGACTAGGGAATATGAAGCTTTTGATTTGGAGGGGGAGGCAGAGAAAAGGGGGGCCTGGGGCTATAGCTGTCATTTTCATAAAGAGGAGGTTAAAGGACTTGTCCTAATACTAATTGGTCTAGTTCATACATGTGTTGAACCTCTATTTTAAACATGACTAAGCTTTAGGAAATCAAGGTGACAAGATATCTTGAAAAGTTGATAATCCAGCACTGAAGCTCCCGGACCTGCTGAACTCAGGTGGACTCCTTTAGGAGGTGGCTCCTGATAGTAACATCATAATCAGGCATCTATTCGCTCCTAGCATCTCCTCTTGCAGCTACCAAAACAAGACTGCCAATGGCATGCGTACTCACATCAAGACTTCTTCAAGGATGTTATCAGAGTTTGCCCTAGAAGGAACTGTGACTCCCCTTTCTTTTAGAGAAGAGGGAACAAGTGCCTGTCCCCCTAAATAGTGCACTTGGTGCAGGGAGAAGGAAAATTAATAAACAAATGGACCTGTCCAACTCCAATGCTACAAGGAACTTGGATGAGCTTCAGTTCCAGAGATCACCAGTACTTACCTGTCAAAGCCTTCCTGGGAAGTGGCAGGTCTGCTTTTATACTGAATTAGAAGGCCGTCATCTCCATCTATCCAGCTTTTCTACTTGTCAGTGAAAATTCAGGCCAAAAAGACAGCTGCGAAGAATGAAAGTGGAAAGAAAAAGAAAAGGTAAAATAACCATGGGACACTGAAGCAGAGTGGAGTGAATCTAAAAGTTGGGATACCTGTTTGTCATAGTTAATGCTGTTCTTCCCTCTTCTGTTTGTCCTCACCCCTGGCCAATTCTGAGGACCAATTCTGCACTTCTAGGGAAAGTCACAAAAATCCCTGGGTCCCCATATACTGATACCAATAACCTGCTCTGACTTGGAAAGATGATCATGATGCACCATTAAATAAAATTTTAAAAAGCCATGGAGCAATGTATTATGCAAGTATGTACAAGTAGCTAGGTAGAAAGGTTCATCTTTGCAAGTCAAACACAATCTGAACTAACCCAGGTAAATCCCAGATCTTGGGTCCCAGAACTCAGTTCTGTCCTTTGCTTCTGAATAGAACTAAGGCAGATTCAATCATTCTGGGTACCCTGTTCACTCAGCTAGTCAGAAAAGGATAAATGGCATCCTCTTATTGGTTAACAAGGCAATATACACCAGCCAATAAGAGAATCGTTCTCCTTTCTGGCCAATAAAATCTCAGTTATCTTCTTGAAAGGAAAGTAAACCCTTTGTCCATAAAGAAATGAAAAGAAAGGGAATACTAATTTAAAAAAAAAAAACTACTGTTGCTATGGGACATTACTGATGTAATCAATGATAGGCTGCGCCAAAGAATTAATAAAGAAAAGCACTTCTTTGGGAAAAAAAGTACAAAAAGCAGACCAGCTGTCTGGTCTGGTGTACAAGGAAGTTTCTATAGTAACATGTAAGAGAAAGGCATTTTAATGTAAACGCCCCTCAACTATATCTAGCCTGTCCACTTAGGGCATTTTTGGCCTTAAACTTCCATTGAAAATATAGATTTTTTTTTTAAAGAGAGATTATTTATTTATTTAGTTAGTTTTCTGCAGACACAACATCTTTGTATGTGGTGCTGAGGATCGAACCCGGGCCACCCGCATGCCAGGCGAGCTCGCTACCACTTGAGCCACATCCCCAGCCCCGAAAATATAGAAATTTTTAAAAATTATATTAGCAATGGATGAAGAAGAGAAAAGGAAGGATGTTTATTTGCTGATGAAAGGCATTACAGACAAAGAGATGATGGTCACTATCTGAAACATGGAGATCTCCTTCCCTGCATTATTAAGTGATAACTCAATTTAAAACAAGGTTTAGTTTTAGAAATAGAAAGCTATCAGCTCTTTAATGAGAAGAATTCTAGATGAAATAATGCACAGAACATAGGTCATTCTTAGTAACCTACTAATGGTTTATTCTTAAATCATTCTGAGATTGCTATGATTGCTTTAGTGAAATTATGGGTAAAATGGTTTTCCACCCAGATGTTACACATGAACACAGGCAGGTGAGATTGATAAGTCAAAAGTGGAGTCAATATTTGTCAATCAAGGGAAAGGTAAAAGATGGGAGGATTAGAAGCTCTAAGTGCTATGTTTGCTAGTTATGAAGCCAAGGCTGGGGAGGAAGAAAAGAGAATCTTGAACAAAGTGCAGGTAATGCTAGGGACTGCTTGTTAAGAGGAAAGTGTTTCTACCTCCCTGTGCTTTCTTTGAGGTCTGTGGGTAGAGGCGATTCAAAATCCAGGTTCCTTCCCTTGCAAAGAGGTGTTTGCAGGGGATGACTGACAAACCAAGGAGAAAATATCTCTCTGCAGTAGACCACCTTGGACAATATGCCTGTTTCCCTCTTGTTTACCCATGAAGAACAAGCCTATGGGGGATAGAGAGGAATCAGCTTCTACAGTATAAAGAAAGAAATTGGGCAGGGGGTGCTGAGAACCAAACTGCGAATCCCAAAGAAATTACAGGGAAGGCTACAATTACTTCTGTGAAACGTGGGTGGGGTGGGGTGGGGTGGGAAAAATTTCAAGGGTATTTGCCTGGCGCCTTGAATTAAATGGAAAAAATTCACCCTCCAGGATTTCCCTGGCCGGGCCTTGTGTGCGGTGGGGGCGGAGGGGGAGTGGATTATGTGGGAGCGGTGATGACTTTCACTCAGCTAGGGGAAGGCAGGGATTCCCAGGAGACATTTTAAAGAATCAAGGTGCTTATGAATAATCAGTGGCCAAAGCCCCTCCACTCACTGTAACCAAGGCAACTGGAGGCAGGGGCTTGCTGTTGGTTGCCTGGTAACCCAAGTCGGGTCCGCTCTCCTCCTCCCCCACCTTCGTTAGCCCTTTTGTGACAGCTTTTTCCCCTCTGCGGCTTTTTTCATCCCTGGGAAAACAGTCATCTCTGTTCCTCGTACAAAGGGCATTTGGAGCTCCTTTGGATTAAAACAAACAAAAAAACAAAACTTGATGTTCATTTTGGGCAAATTTAATCTATACCCAAAGGTTGGCGCCCATATAAAATGTGCATCTTACCTCAGCTTCAATATCTTCTCTATTCCACGCTTTTTCCTCCATTCACTCCCAGCAAGGGGTACGGAGATTGTGGGGAGGGAGAGAGAGGGAGAGGGAGAGAGAGAGGCAAAGAACTCAGATGCGGCGAGTTTTCATAGAACACCAAAGCCTGGAGCTCCTAATAAACTGTCTCGCTTGCTCCTGTGCTCACCGCGTGCAGGCGCGCCTTTTCTTCCCCCACACTGCCTGCACTTGGCGCTAAGTTTTTCCTCTGGCTGTAGCGAAAGGGAGATGGAATGATCTCCTGGAAACCAACACAAACTCCTGGAGAAATGAGGAAGACAAGTCCTTCCTTCCTCTGCAAGCCCTATCTCACCTGGCCTCCTCTGGATTGTGTCTGAGAGATTGTAGCGAGTAGCTGGGAGGTCGAGGTCAAGTGCCAACACCTCCCAGGCTATCCGGGAATTGGGCGCTATCCAGTTTCTGATGCTGAAACTGGAATATTGGATTCGCTGGAGAGGGGTTACAGGGATTTTCAACAGTCAGATTCAGACCTCAGGCAGGAACCCGACGGGTGGAAAAGCGGGATGAGAACCTATCTGTACTAGTTGCGGTTTTGATTTTTTTTTTTTTTTTAAAGCAGATGGGGCTCCCCTGGGAGAGATTTCCTGCGCTTCTTCATCCCCCTTCCCATGTTAATGGGATCATTTGCTGCAATCGCAAAGGGTGGAAAGAAGGGCCCTTCGCACTGAGATGATTACCTATTTGTTTTCCAGCACTTTCCACATCCACGTACACCCCTCCCTGGTCGGTTCTGAGCTTTCAGAGTGTTTGCAAGCAGAGTCCCGGAACTCTCGGTGCACAGATCTTGTGGAACGCCGAATCTGGCCGCTTTTCTTCACGCAACAGGTCTGCTGCACCTGGAATCTAAGAAACAAGGAGTACGGGAGCGCAGCGGCGACCGAGGGCTTGGAGTTGCTGGGTTTCGAGGGCGTACATTCCCGAGGCTTGTGGGGCCGCTTCTCTCCCACAGAGCAAGACAAACAGCAAAGCGGCTTCACCCCCGGGTGGATAGAGAACTAGATGCCCCCACAACTCGAATTGGCAAGCACCAGGTTGGGGCGCTCTGCTGCCAGGCTCCAGAGCCTCCTTCCCTCCCCTTCAGTTTGGTGGCGTGCACCTTACCGTCAGCGATGCCAAACTCCCGCGGTGCCCTCCCTAGCCTCCCAGGTTCGGATTAGCGAGTCTCAGCTCCAGCTAGCCGCTCCTCCAATTCGTAGCCCTTAATCTGGGGAAGGGGCTGGACAGGATCTTTAGCTGAAATTTTACCTGGCACAGATCGCTACAGCCCGGGAGAAAGATGGTTTGCTGTCCACTTTTTTTCTGGAAGAAAGCCCCCTCACCACCCTGCTGCCGGCCCATTGCTGCTCCCCAGAAAGCTACCAAGCAAGCTGCAGAGCAGAGGCGCGGAGAGAGGGATGGGGTTTGACAAGCTATCTTGTGAAACACTCCTTGAATACTTGCCTCTCTCGGGCGGTCTGTTTTATCCTTAGGAGTGGCCGCGCTGCTAGAGTGGGAGGCAGGTCTGGAATTTCGGCACGATCTCCCGGTGTAGACTCAGTGGACGTGGCTGCGGGGGCTAGGGGAGAACAGCTGCTTTAAAGCCGAAACCAACCCACAGGTGGCCTGTCAGGGACACGGACGTTCATGACGTCATCCCGAAGGCGAGCGGAGGGGCGGGGGTGTCACAACTCTTCACATCAAAAGTCCCTTGTGGCCATGGTAACAGCTCCTGGGGGTCCGCGCGCGCCAGCAACCAGCTGCCAGCAGCCTGTTTTTCTCTCCGGCTGATGTGGCGCTCGGCTGGAGTCCGGTGAGACTTAGTTGCGAATCCAGCGAGGCCCTCACCCGTCCGGGGTCCACCTCTCAATCTCGTCCTTGGGAAAGATTAGACTCCCAGAGGGCGACCATGCAGAATCCTTCATTTCCTCAAGGACATTTCTATCCTCCTTCCACCCGATCTTAGCAGGCTGGATTTGGTTCACCTGATCTCATACAGAGGTGTTCTCCCTGAACTCAAGGATGCGAAAGCTCCGCTTCTCATACACTTTCCACCCACACTGTCCCTGGGCGTCCACACAGAACCCTCTGGTATTTCAGAAAACGGACAACACTACGCGGAAGGGGGGCGGTGGAGAACATCCACCGATCTAGAATGCATTTGGAGGTCATAAACTGGTGGGCAACAAACCAACTGAGACACAGAAGTATTTACCAATCTCCTACAAGATTTTAAAAATTGATTGGAAGATAACACTCAGAAATATGAGTTTTCCAAATCTCTTGAATCTGGCGCTGGTGTTTCTGCCTGCTGTGGAGAAGTCCTGACCCTGGGTAGGAAGGACTAGGATGGAGGCCTGCATAGGACCCCCCTTCTCCATTTTTTATCAATGTCAATGTCTATTTTTATCAATGTCTATTGTTTCCTATAGTTTAAGAGCGTAATTCCCAAGAGGAAATAAAATTGTATGAGTAGGGGAAAAAAATGTTCCCACCTCACTTACTTACTTACTTCATTGATGTTACTTCTTAGTTTTCTGTGTAAGCCTCTCCACGCTGGTCAAAAGGGGCTGTCATGGCTTGGCTCAGGTGTCATTCTCTATTCACTATTGGCGGATGCCCAACAGGTCCAGCCCTGAACTAACATTCACATCTGCGCTGCTTACATCCTGACAACACAGGCAGTAGGACATTTCCTGCTAGTACCACAGGGGTTTTGTTTTAATTTTTTCTATTTCAAAATATGCAGGTATTCGGAAACATTTAAAGATCATATTTTTCATTCATCACTCAGATATTTGGTCACAGAGAAATAATAATGATAATAATAATAATAATTATATTCTTTATTATTTTTATGATGCTGGGAATTAAACCCAGAGCTTCCAGAAATAACATTCTTTACATTTTTTAATTTAGGGAAAGCTATTTTATTTATAAATACATGGAGAAATGGAAAGAACAAAAAAAATTCAAACCACTTCTAGGCTCAACTGTGTCATTATGTAAACCTAACAGTGTTTTACATTTTCTGATTGGTAGGTTAAATATAGCTGTAAAACATATTTTCATGAACCCAACTAACCAACCAAAGTAACAATTAAAAAATCACTACCAACACCAGGTGTCATGGCATAGGCCTGTCATCCTAGCAACTCGGGAGAATGAGGCAGGTGAGGCCAGCCTCAGCAAATTAGAGAGGCCCTAGCAAATTAGTGAGATCCTGTCTCAAAATTAAAAAAAAAAAAAAAAAAAAAGAAAGAAAAGAAATGGGGATGTATCTCAGTGGTAAAGTGCCCCGGGTTCAATTCCCAGTACCGAAGCAAAAACAAAAACAAATAAACAAAAAACCCACTACCAACTCTCTCCCACAAAGTCACAATCAACAGTCATTAAACAGGCATTTTGAATATATGCAATGATCTCTCCCCTTTAGAATTCCCCCCCCCCAAGGAAAAATAGACTTCTATTTATATGTACTTGCTCTCCTGTGCAATTGTCTGGAAATATTGGTTGAAAGCAAATGTAACTTTATACTAGAGAATTCTAAATCTTACCCAGTGTGGATTATTTCTAGGCTATTTAGGAAAATGAGTGCAGGGGAAAGATCACACCATCTCCATCTCTTGGTAGGAAACAGGTTTCTGGGTAGTTTAGTGTATGGGATCCTTCAGCCTTTCTTCATTTCACCAGATTGGTCTCTAACAGCACGTTTTTCTTGGAGCTATTCCATTTGGAATCTTAGAACTGTCAGCTATAGATGAAATGAGAGTAACTGTATTGATACTTTATTTCCTGTCTTTATAAAACCCTTGATATTTCACCACACATTTCACGTGGTATATCCAACTTGATTCTAAATGCTGCCCATTCTATACATGAAGAAGCAGAACTCAGACTGTTTAGTTCATCTCGAAGTACTAGGGATCTTTCTGCTGAAAAGCCCTGATTGTTTTCCTTGTATGAGTTATTGAAATTATTCATTAAGTAGAAATAAAAAAGACAATTTATAAAAATGGAAGATAGGGCTGGGGTTGTGGCTCAGTGAAAGAGTGCTTGCCTAGCAAGTATGAGGCACTGGGTTCGATCCTCAGCACCACATAAAAATAAAATAAAATAAAGATAGTGTGTCTACCTAAAACTAAAAAATAAACATTTTTTTTTAAAAATGGAAATACAACTGACATACGAATATTTGGACTTGTTCTGCTTTATTTAAAATAGAGCCAGGCACAATGGCATACTCCTAAAATCCTGGTATCTCAGGAGGCCAGACTCAGCAATTCAATGAGATCCTCAGCAACTTAGCAAGAACTTGTCTCAAAATTTAAAAAACTTAAAAAGGTATGGGAATGTAGCTCAGGGTAAAGCATCCCTGGACTCAATTCCCAGTACCAAATAAATAAATAAAAATAAAACAATATAAATCATTCAATTTGTGGTATCATTTTTCACATACTGAATTGACAAAAATAGAAATCTACTCCTAATGCTGGAGAAGGTGTGGTAAAATAGAGGTTGTAAGTTGTATAAATTCAGTGAAAAGCAATTTTACTAGTTGTATCAAGAGGCATATGCATGTTCACACTCTTTAGGTGGGTTCTTCTTCTGAATATCTATTCTAATTTATAAAATAATCTTAAATAGAGAAAATTCTGGATACACAAAGGAGTATTATTTAATATTTTTAAAAATGGAAACAACAGCTGGTTACTGTGGCCCATGCCTGTAATCTCAGCAATGCAGGGGGCTGAGGCAGCAGGATCACAAGTTCAAGGCCAGCCTCAGCAACTTAACAAGACCCTGTCTTAAAATAAAATTTAAAAAAGAAAGAAAAGAAAAGAAAAGAAAAAGCAGAAGCAACATTAATATCCAACAATAAGGGATTGGCATATCAGCTATTGAATGGATAAAATATTCTACCAACTCTAAAATGCTGAAACATGAATAGAGAAAATAGGCATCATAAAATGTCAAAGAAAGAAATGAGTAGAATACAGAACTACCTCCATAGTTGTGATTAAAATAATGGCTTTAAAATTTTCAAAAGCTCGATTACATTAAAAAAATACAAGAGAGATACATCAGAGTGTGATAAAGTTTCTGCTAAAATACAGAGATTACAGATGGCTTTAAAATTTTTTCCTTTTATCATGTTTCCCAAATTTTCTGAAATATGATCATGTAGTTTCTATAATTAAAAGTGTAATATGATAGAAATAGGGGAGTAGAAGGTGTTTGTCAGGCATCTATTACTTATCTAGTGCTGTTCCAGATGGACATAATCAGGACAGGTGTGGAGGCTGGGTCTAAGAACTGTGCAGGTCATTTCAGATCTTTCCTGGGGTATTTGGTGACCATGAGATGGTTTGAGTTTATCAGCAAAAAGCTGATAAGGGACATTTGGTTGTTAGTCAACTCAGATACACCATCAACCCAGCTGTCCTTCTCTCCAATAAGCTTGCTTCTATTCCTGCATCTATTTTTCCATCACATTTCCTTCCAAACTCGAATTAATAATAATGATATGTTAATAATAATATTTTCCTTACATTTTTATAGTGATATTTCACATTTTTTATGCTCTTACATACAGTGTTTCGTATAACTTTATGATAGCTACTACTAAAAGAAACCCTGAATTAGATGTTACATCATTTAATTACACAATTGTTTAATCTCTGGTTAAGTAATTTGCCAGAAGCCACACAGCTGGTAAGTGATGGATTCATCCATAATTTGACTTCTAGACACTCCCTCCTCATAGGAAAAAGGCAGCTTAATTAGAAGTAACAATGCTCCTCCTTTCTGTTACTGTAACCAATACCTGAGACGATCAATTTAAAAAGAAGGAAAGTTCATTTTGACTTACAGTTTCAGATGTTTCAATCCATGTTTGATTGGCAATGCTGCCTCTGGGGCTGTGGTGAGACAGCACACCAGGGCTCATGCACAGTGGGAGCAAAACTTACCACTCCATAGTGGCCAGAAACAAAGAGAAAGGAAGAGGAGCTAGAGTCTCAATATTCCCTTCAAGGGCTTGCCCCCAGTGACCTGAGACCTTCTACCAGGCCCCACCTACTACTATCACCAAGCTGAGATTAAAATGTATGATATATATATATACACACACACATATAAAATGTACATTATATATAATGTAATATATATGTGTGTGTGTGTGTGTGTGTGTGTATGTATATATATATATCATTGTAACATTTTTTAAGCTTGCAGTTAAGTGACATTAAGTAAGTACTATATATTTTGAGATCCAGGGGCCTAAGTTTTAGCTTGCAGACAGGGTGGCCAAAGGTAAAAAGAAGGCAAAAAGTTAGAACCAAGGCACTAGCATTAACCTAGCATAGCTAGATTGATGATGTATCTGTGCCAGCATCTGTGTTGTGAAGAATAGCTGATCTCTTAAGAAAAATGGAGCAAGAACAGTTGGATCCATGGACCCAGAGAACCAGTAAGGAAACTTCTAATTACTCAGACTCTGGATGTAGATTATTTTATGTTTCCCCATGGGAAATAAAACTCCAAGACTGAGCCCTGGTGGAAGTCTGAATTGAGAGCATGTCTTGGTGCAAAAACCCCAAC